CCAACCTTTAGGTCAGCATCCAAGCATGCTAATCCTTTGCACCACTCAGATACTCAGTGGTGTCACAAAGGGGTGTGGACCACACTGAGTTGATACTATCAGAGGGGGTGACACTAAAAAGACTATAAAATTATTTGTAATATTACAGCAGAAATTTACTATTTTTTTTAAAATAAAAATATTCTTGCAGTTAGTTATAACAACAAAACATATTTTTGTAAGCCCTATACACCTACAGAGCTAAAACTCTATGCTAATTTACTTTTTTTTTTTTTTTTTTTAAACCTTCTAATGTTCTCCTCGGAAACCCAAGGAGGGGTCGTTATGAGTCGGGGCCGACTCGACGGCACATAACAACAACAACAACAACAATGTTCTCTGGGGGAGCTCTGGTGGCATAGTGCCTAAGGCACTTGACTGCTAATCAGAAGACTGGCGGTTCAAACCCACCAGTCACTCCTCGGAAGGAAGGTTGGGCATCTACTTCTGTAGTGATACCACCTCGAACACCCAAGGAGGGGTCACTATGAGTCGGATCCGATTCCATGGCAGTGAGTTTGTTTTTTTTGGAATGCGCTCTGGTCACAGCTGTCATTATCACCCAATTGCACTGATGCTTTGAATCACATAGTTTCTTCTGCACACTCTACTAGCATGCACTGTTGTTTTAGTTGCTACCAGTGTTTTTATAGTCATTGATTTTGTCAACTTTTCTGGGTTTTAGCTACACTGTTGTGGTAAGTGGTGGTGTGGTAGTTAAAGCTAACCAAAAGGTAGGTGGTTTGAACAAACCAGCCACTCTTTGGGAGAAAGATGAGGCAGTCTGCTTCTGTAAAGATATACAGTCTTGGAAACCCTGTCTTAGTGAGTTGCTATGAGTCAGAATGGACTCAATGGCAGTGAGTTTTGGTTTTTATATCAATATATATCTATATCTATCTATCTATCTATATATTTTGAGAATGAGGTAGTAATTAAAACAAAAGGAGAAAAATAAAAATGATTTCTACTCAGTTACTAATAGGGTTGTGCAGTGTAGTAAATTACTTAGTATGGCTTTTCTACCCATAAGTCATTGTAAACTCAGTGGTGGAATGAGCAACTGAGGAGCTGATTGTAAATATTATCCAAGTGGAGTATTTCTGTTGGGCGTGGCACAATAAAATGTTCTGGGAGGTGCCCACTCTCTCTCAGGTGCTTAGAGTTCTGATGCTATGATTGGCTAGTTTGACCACCCTGCGGGGCTCAAAAGGAGGCCTCCTAGAGGCAGAACTCTCTCTCTGACTGCTGGTTGAGGAAGACGTGCTGCCGAAAGAGACACGCGCCCCTGAAAGAGACAGGCGTTGCTGGGAAAGAGACGCAAGAGACACGCATTGCTGAGTGAGACACCGAGGGACCAGTGCTGCTGGGAAAGAGACAGTGAGAGACTGTTGGCCGAGGGACGGTGGGCTGGGAGAGAGACTGAGCATTTTTCTTGAACTTGAGTTGTAGCTTGGTGCTTCCCTAATAAACCCCATAATCTGTGAGTTCTGTGTGGCCACTGCAGTGAATTATCGAACCCAGGAGAGAGGTGGTGGGTGCCTTGGGAGGAACGGTTGGTAAAAGGGCTGGAGGGAGGCAGCATGTCTGGCCTTGCAGTAATAGGCCTTGGGTTACTGCTGGTAATCCTGCCTTCCCCTTGTAGGGTTAGAGGAGGTCAGAACATGTGGCCTCCTTGTCGTTTTTGCAGGTTGTAACTGATCATATAATTCAATGTAGAAAGATTTTACAGAACAATTTTATTGTTAATATCCATATAATGTAAGAAATATTACATTTAAGCACTTTGCAACTATATTTATCACATACTATTTTATGATTAACATTGATAATAAACATTATTAAGGATATTGTATGTTGTGGTATGGGAGGAGGTCCATGGGGAGAGGTGACACTATGAGTTACTACCTTGGGCGACACCAACCCTGGTGATGCCACTGCAGGGATTACACCCAGAGTAAAGTTAAACTGAAATAAGAAAAAATGAGTTCAGAACTGTGATCTAAAAGTGCTGCTCTGCCTTATCAAATGCGTTTGGGTGGGGCCTGTGAGGCTTATGATCAATGGGTAAACATTGTGGCTCTCTATAGCCTCTGGTCTTTCAGTGGAGAGGGTGCTCTGAGGCCACCAGTGGTGCTCCTGGCCACTGGAACCACAGGCTCCTCCTTTTCTGGAAGGACTCTGAACATGGTGGCATGAGTTAGACCTGGGTCTGGCACAGCCCCACCCCTCTCTGCTTCTCTGGAAGGAGAACAGAAAGAGAACAAAATCTCTCCTTCTGGGCCTCCAGAAAGACGCCGGGAATGTGGGAACCTACTGAGATATTCTAGGTCCTGCTAGGAGCTGATCTGACCTTCTCATACCCATTTGATTCTAATTGGGACCTATTTTTGGGGTGTTGGTGGCACTGGGAAATCTGACCCAGCCAGGGAACCTGGCCCGGGTTGCTTGGGGAGATCATCTGAGGGCCTTAATCTGAAGACCTGCCTTTGATATTGACTAGCCCCCATTTGGAGGTGGCCATGCAGGATTTCATGGCCACGTGGGGGGGGGGCACAACATGCCTCAAAGCTAGGAGGGGGGCCACTATGGGTGTGCAGGGAAGGGATAACAGTAAGAGGTGGATGTGGGAAGCCTGTGGCTCTAAGGCAACTCAAGAACTTCCTGAGACTGGTCCCAAGGGACATGTCCCTAAGGGGATATGATTCTGGACCTCAGACCACAGAGTGTTGATTTCTTGTAGTCACCTACCCTTTAGTCTCTTTCCTCCTGGCCTCTGCCATGTGGACCTGGACCTGGGCCATGGAGAGCATTGCCTCTAACCATTTGGCTGGATAATGGTGGGCCATTTAAATAAAATGTGGTTCAGGGACCACAGGGGACATGGGGGTGACCAGGTTAGGGCACTGGCAGACTGCAGAGGCCTTCCTTTCTAGCTGAGCCCAGGGAGACCCCTGCCCAGACTGCCTCCTCACACAGAGGCTCTGACCATCAGGCTCCCTCACGTTGACCTGAGAGTGTGTGGTCTGGGGCAATGAGGCCCTCTTGCCACTCGAACCCAGCACATACAACACAGCTGCTGGGAGAACCACCCAGAAGTATAGACACAGGAGTTGTGGGAACTCAGGGACACCTGGAGGAGCCTGAAACTCAATGCCATTGTAATGCTCTGTGACATGGCTTGTCTCCAAGATGGACCCAAACAGAGCCCCTTGAGCTCTGAGGACTAGGACGGAAAATGAAACATGAACTCAGGCCAGCAGAGGGGATCACTTAGAGGCCAGGAAGGTGATTTTATTACTGTCAGTGCAGGATGTGTGTCAGAGGTGAGGGGGGAGGTGGACAAACAGTTGTAAGGAGTCAGAGAGAGTCAGAGACCCCTGAGTCTGGCTGCAAGATAGTACAGGTGTGGCTGGGTAGGCAGCCACAGCTGACAGAATGTCCTAGGACCCCTCTGTTCTGGATACCTAGTGCTGCTCTAACAAGAATATACTACAAAAGGGATGGTCTTAAACAGGAGTTTATTCTTATAGTTTGGTGGCTTTAAGTCCAAGTTCACAGTGCCAGGCTCTAGGGGCTGGGTGAAAGCCCCTCAACCTTGGGGTCCAGCTCTGGCTCCTGCTTCTGGCCCATTGGAGCTAGAGGCATTTCTTCACTCAGACAGCTGCTGGCTGCTGAGGCTGAGAAGCCCAAGGTTGACAAGTAAAAAGGCACAGTCCCGATGTTACCAAACCACACGGCAGGCCATTAATTCAAGTCCATTGTAAATCCCAAGGTTGGCAGAGCATAGCTCTTTGAAACCTAGGAGGCTATGGTGGTTCCAACCCCAAAGACCATGGTCCTACCTTTTCAGGCTGAGGCAGCTCTGCTTCCATTTCCTGGGTCTCTCTGCTTCTGTCGATTAATGCCAAAGGCAACAGCCTCCCCTGGAAAACTTCCTGCCCAAAAAGCGCTTGGCTTTCTTGCTTCGTGGGCCAGCCAACTTGCTACTCCATTTTGTGCCAGTCTCTTCTACCAAATAATGCCCAAAGGCAATCCACTCCACCAGGAAGCCACCTGCCCAATGGCACCCAGCTTTCTCCTCCGTGGGCTGGTAAGCCTGTTGCTGTTTAATGCCGGTCTCTGGGCTCTGCTACTGCTGTCTCTCATGCCGGTCTCTTGACTCTGCTTCTGCTATTTCTCATGCCATATGCTGGGGTCTCTCTGTTAGGGTCTCAGGTCAAGGATGCACCCCACTCCTGTTTCCACATTTTAGGTATCTGTCAGAGCAGCGCCCCACTCTTTCAGTACCAAATTCTGTTCTGGTTACCTAGTGCTGCTCTGACAAGAATATACCACAAATGGGATGGCCTTAACAAACAGGAGTTTATTCTTATACAATTTGGAGGCTTTAAGTCCAAGTTCAAAGTGCTAGGCTCTAGGGGCTGGGTGAAAGACCCTCAACCTTGGGGTCCAGCTCTGCTGCCTGCTCCTGGCCCACTGGAGCTAGAGGCGTTTCTTTAGTCAAACAGCTGCTGGCTGCTGAGACTGAGAAGTCCAAGGTTGACAAGTAAAAAGGCACAGTCCTGATGTTACCAAACCACATGGCAGGCCATTAATTTAAGTCTATTGTAAGTCCCAAGGTCAGCAGAGCATGGCAGGCTGCTGAACACCAACACAGCTACACACAGGGTCCAAGTGTGCCATAAGCTAGAGATCATTCCCAAAGCTGCTTCTTATATTCAGGAAGCAGACCACATACCTATTCAGCTGCTTGTGGTAGATCCCACCATGGAGTTGATTGCTAGTCTCATCATGGGAAATAACTACCACCAGCTGCCCGGCCACTCAACCAGGCCCAGCCAAGTTGACACACAAACATAACCACCACACCCTCTTTCCTCACAAATGATTTGAGGGGCATCTTATGTGTTTGGGTCTGGTGAGGAGATAGCAGATGGGCTGAACTGTGAGTTATGAGGTCAAGTGGGCTTGCACACAGGGCGAAAGATGAGGGACATGCAGGAGGAGGGTTTGCAGTGGGCAGCCTCACAGCAGACAGGCTTGTAGCAGATGGGTTTGCAGTAGATGGGGATACAGCATGTCTGCTGACAGGGGGAGGATGTACAGCACTCAGGCTGGCAGCTAGATTGGTGGCAGCAGGAAGGTGCTGGGCAAGGGGCAGCCCCACAGCAGCTGAGCACACAGCAGACAGGCTTGCAGCCGATGGGTTTGCAGCAGACAGGCATGCAGCAGGCCTGTTGGCATGAGGGGTGGCAGCTAGACTGCTGAGAGCAGGAGGGGTCACAGGAGCTGGTGCAGATTGGTTGGCAGAGGCTGGACCCACAGGCCACCTGGCAGCAGGGGCTGGGCACACAATTCACAGGGGTGCAGATGAGGGTCAGGCAGGGGGATGGGGCACAGCATGTGGGGGTATAGGAGGTGGGGGCAGAGCAGGTGGGGACACAGCAGGTGGATTGACAGTAGGTGGGGGCACAACAGGGGGCCTCACAGCAGCTCTCAGGGCAGTCATCCACCTCCCAGGAGGAGTCTGTGAAAGACTCACAGGAACCAGGCAGGCAGACACAGCTGTCATAGCTCAGGTCACTAGAGCAGACAGATATGGTGGATGCAGCCATAGTAGGGATGAGGTAGAAGGTGAGCTGCAGGAGTGTGTGTCAGTGAGTGAGTGAGTGTGTGAGTGTGTGAGGTGCTCTCTCAGTCTCTGGGGCTTTTATATTCCTCTGTGTTGTGTGTTGTCCCAATCCAACTGCCTTAGGGAGCTTCTTTCCTTGTTGTTTGGAGCAGTCCCTGAGGACACTCATCACAGACCAAGGACATGTAACTCAGCTTGTAAAACTCCTGAGAGGTTATTGTGAGTGGGCCACAAAGCTGAGGGTGTCTGTGCAGGAGGTGCTGCTCGGTGCCAAGAAGTCAAGGTTGATTAAACCAATTACACTGGAACCACACCTGCTATAGGGACTTTTGTCATGGCCGGCAACTGACAGTGCCATCTGATCATCTTTCTATAGTTTCTTACTAACTCTCTGACTTCTTAACACTCAGTTGAATCAGAAACCTATTTTGTTCTTCTTGTTTTATATCTGCTTTATTTTGGGATGAAAATTTCCTCTGAATCCATAGAACAACAAATGGCTTGGGAACTATATTTATTTTTATTTTCTTAGCACACACTTAGGTAATAGTTCTTGCTATGTGCCAGGAACTATTCTGAGCAAGTGTATAAATATCCTCCCAATAGCCTTTTGAGGTAGGTGCTGTTATTATACCCATTTTACAGATGGAGACGCTAAGGCATAATTAATCCAAGGGTACATGCTAGCAAGTACATGAACCTGGATTGGAACCCTAGTGGGCTGTGTTTGTGATTGTGAAACCCTGCTGCCCCAGAACAGAGAGACACAGAAAATCAGGCTCCCCCAGATCCAGATTCTGTTAAAGCAGCGAGAGGGAGTGGGATAAGGTACAGTTTAGAAATAGTGGTGTAAGGCTCACGAGAACATACATAGTGGATGCTTGGAGAGCTTGACTAGAGTCTGTGAAAGAAGCTCCGGTTGCTGTTGAGTCAACCTCGACTCATGGTGACTGCGTGTGTGTCAGAGTAAAACTGTGCTCCATAAGGGTTTCAGTAGCTGATTTCTCTGAAGTAGATCACCAGCCATTTCTTCTGAGGTACTTCTGGGTGGACCTGAACATCCAACCATCTGTTAGCAGAGAGCACATTCACTACCCCACTCAAAAACCAAAAAACCAAACTCACTGCTGTCAAGTTGATTCTGACTCACAGCGACCCCCTCTGGGTTTCCGAGGCAGTATCTCTATGGAAGTAGATTGCCCAGTCTTTCTTCCGTGGAGTGGCTACTAACTTCTGGTTAGTAGTCAAATGCCTTAGGTACTACACCACCAGAGCTCTTTTTACACCACTCAGGGACTCCAAAAAAAAAGGAGCCACTTCTATCTAAAGCGAGAGGATTTGGACTTCTTCTCAGGCAGCAGAGAGAAAAACTGTTATTATGAAGGGAGGCTGTTATTCAGAATGGTTGTTCTAAGAGGCTAGAAGATTCCTCTTGGGAAGTGAATTGCTTTTAAATTTGGAAACAAACAAAAAAACAAACAAAAACACAACACACATTCTGTAGCCCTCTTGGTTGGAAATGGTGGGGAGCAGGTGGGGGCAGTGTGTGCCAGAGAACTTGTTCTGAAACCTGAAGCCCTGAGTTGTAGTGTTTGCAGAATTCAGTGATTTAGATTCTCCTACCTTGGCTGATACCAAGCTGTCAGCAGTTTAACAACCATTTCCAAACACCCTGAATATTTAACAATTGGCTCTGCAGATAGTTCAAGTTGGCTTTCCACAGAAGGGCTAGGGGCTTGGGGAAGAAGGTGGCCTGGGAAAGGGTTCTCAGGAGATGAGGGTCTTAGCAGCCCTGAGGAGTCTCAGCCAAATTGGGGCATGGCTGTTGAGAATCCCCGAGTGTGACTGGCTGAAAGACATTTTGGTGATGTTTGTGTTTGTTTCCTGCGTGTGCCCTCATCCTCTCCATCCCTCTCACTTCCCCATACTTTCAATAGAAAGACTGAGAAGATGTGCTTTAGGAGACTGAGGGCCAGACCCCAAGCTTAATGCTGGGGCAGGCAAGAATTGTTTCTACTTCATGGGTACAGGATTGTGGTGGGAAGGATCTGAGAGAAAAAGAACTGAGTAGGCTCCCCACGACTTGTGAGAGTCCATCTTGCTAATTCATTTGGGTGACCTCAGAAGGATTTAGGAATATCTGAATTAAATACATACAAGCTAAAGAGAACAAGAGAGGGAAGGAGAAAGAAGAAACAGGGAAGGGGAGGAGTAGGGGAGGGAAGGACAAACTGACATCTCACTATTAATTAGAGAAAGCATGTTTTTTGTCTGTTTCACATACTAGACATCTAGATAAGGTTTAGTTTGAAAAAAAAAATTCCACTGCTTTAAAAAATGTTGGAAAGCATGTGACCACACAGCAGATAATACTGCTTAGTTTTAGGAAAACACACATGCTTACTAAATAGATGTCATGCCAACTAATTTGGTGTCGTGTGTTTTACAACCTTCTGGTTAGTAGTCAAATGCCTTCGGCCTATGCCACCAGAGCTCCCTAGATGTCAGTGTACTTCATCCTTAAACACTTTAGCAACAATACCATGAAGTAGAGTATAACATGTTTGTGTGTGTGCACGTGTGTGTGAAGTGACACATGTCTTCAGAGTAACAGTTGGTGAATATTAACAAATGCATATGGCTGGGTAACCTAGGCTGCATCAAGACCCAGGACATGACCACATGCCCAGACCCCATCAAATTGAAGGACATGACCATCTGCCCAGACCCTATCAATACTCAAAACATGGCCTTTCCAGCCTCTATCAAGACACAGAACAACCATCCCTCATAAAGTCCCATCTTGTCCCTTCCCAGTCAATTTTACTCTACCTTCTTTGAGGCAGCCATTTTTTTTTTTTTCATTTTTTCAATGCACAGATTAGTTTAATTTACCCTAGAACTTCATATAAATGGAACCATAGATTATGTACTTTTTTCTGCCTGGCCTCTCTTACCTAGCATGGTATTTTTAGGAGTAATTCACATTGTTGCATGTGTGAGTAATGCATGTCTTCTTAAAGGTGATTGTATTCCATTGAATGACTACATCATGATTTGTTTATCCATTCTCCTGTTGATGGACACTTGGGCTGATTCTGATTTTTGTCTATTATGAATGCAGCTGAATATGGGTGTCTCATATATTTTTGAAAGGAGCTCTGGTGGTACAGTGCCTAAGGCATTTGACTGCTAACCAGAAGGTTGGTAGTTTAAACCCACCAGCCACTTCTGAGAAGGAAGATGGGGGCAATCTACTTCTGTAAAGATTTACCTCCTCAGAAACCCAATGGGGGTCCCTATGAATTGGAGTTGACTCAATGGCAGTGGGGTATATAAATGTTTGAAAGGCTCAGCATCCAGAAGCTGAAACCATGAGCAGGTGCACACTGCATTGCTGGATAGCCCTGACTTTTAGGGAAGTCTTCCAGAAGGTTGGTGGTTCAAACCAGTTGTTCCTCGGGAGGAAGATGAGGCAATCTACTTCCACAAAGATTTATAGCCTTGGAAACCCAGTGGGAGTCGCTATGAGTCAGAATTGACTCAATAACATTGGGTTTGGTTTGTTTGGTTTTCCTTCTGTGAGCTGAAATCCTCCTCCCTGTCACCCCAGCTCATTGGCCCCAATCCAACGTATGATGGAGTAAAACAAGCCTGTTTTCCATTTGAAAGCCCTTCAGACAATTGAAGCAGCCACTAGCCTGCCCAGGCTCTGCCTCCTCATCCCATCAATCCCTGGTAGAATTCTCACTTTCTGTGTGGGAGACCCAGGTTCAGTTCTTGGCTTCTGCACTCATGCATAGCCACTACCCATCTGTCAGTGGACACTTGCATATTGTTAGGATGATGAACATGTTTCAGAGGAACTTCCAGAGCAAGACCAACTAGAAAGAAAGGCCTGGCAATCTATTTTCAAAAACCAGCCACTGAAAACCCTATGAATCACAACAGTCTAATCCTTAACTGATCATGGGGATGATGCTTGACCGGATAGGGTTTCATTCCATTGTGCATGGGGTCCCTGTGAGTCAGGGGCCAGCTAGGCATTGTAGCCAACAACGACAACAACCAGACAACCAAGATTTCCCAGGTTCTGCCCCTTCAATCTTTCAATTGCTTTTCATTTAATCCTGTTTCTAGGCAAAAAGAGCCCAGGGTAAAAGATACTCAGATGAAATAATGAGTAAAGAAAACAGTCCCTTTGCCTGCAACAGCCTCAGCCACACTTTTCTCAGAGGGATTTCCCAACACACTAAAGGGCAAACTCTGTTGTTGGGTACTGACTGTCCAGGGAGACCCTTTGTAAGACAGGCCCCCCAGCATTAGCTGGTCCAAGAGCAAAGGACAAGGAGGGAATAGCTTTGGGAAAAACAATGAAAGACACCTGAGTTGTGGAGCAGGGAGATCTATTTTTTCTTAGGTCACTAAACTCTTAGGATTAAGAAAGCTAAGGGGGCAATGGTAGCCCCTGTGGGACAGGATCCATCAATGATTCGATAATGAGATGTGTGGGAAGAATTCTGATCATTTGACAAAGTTTTTCAGAGATCAATAGCAGAGAATTGAGTATCCAGATGATTTGTTGGCAGCAGTCAGGGGTGCCACAGGAGACAGGTGTGCAGATGAGGGTAGGGCAGGAGGGCTGGCAGCATTGGGAGGATTGGCAGGAGGGGGCCACACACATGGCCAGCTTGCAGCTGACGGGCATGCAAATGACAAGCTTACAGCTCATGGGCATGCACACAGTGGGCTTGCAGGTCACAGGCATGCAGCAGGTTGCCTGGCTGGGACTGGACACACAGCAGGCTGGGCTGCATGAGGAGGCCTAACCACAGGTCATGAGACCGCATGGGGACTGGCAGCCACTGGAGCAACAGGGTGACTGGCAGGAGGTGGCCAAACCACACATGGGCCAGCACAGCAGAGTCATACAGGACACTGGGCAGCAGCAAGAGCTGCCACAGCAGGAGGATGGGCAGCGGGCGGTGGGAACACAGCTTAGAGGTTTGCAGCACACAGGTTCAGGGCTGCCGGGCAGTGCTTGGAGCAGCTGGCATCACCCATGGCAGGTGTGTAGCTGGGGCAGCTGTTGGGGAGAAGGTGGGGCCTAGTGTGGAGGCTCCTTGTGCTGGATGGCCTTTATATCCAGGTTCTGTGAGCATCCAGGCAACACAAAGCACTATTATTGTTTTCCTTGTTTTTGCTTCCACAACTTTATCTGTCTGTTTTTGTTTGGCCCTGAGCTTCAAGACTAATTGTATCTTCTTCCAGCGCTTGTTAAACTTGGCAACTTGCCCATCTGTCTTATTGGCAGATTCTAGATTCTTGGTCTGGATTCTACCTGTTCCTTAATATTTCACCTGAATTACTTTTATATGATTCCAGACCTTGGATCTCTAGATTTTTCCTTCAGTGTGACAATGATCTTCAAACAACCACAAACTGTACACTCCTCCCGTGTGCCCAGGGAGAGTGCATGGGAGATGTGAGGGCTCACTTGTTTCTGAGAGCTGGTGTTGGAGAGCTGCAGAAACACATGGAAGGGTAGGGAGACAATTCATTGTCTGTAGGATCACGAGGATTAAAGGATGTGGGTCATTGGGTACTTCTTGGAAGTGGAGACATTGGGTTCTAGTCTTGAAGAAGAGAAAGCTAAATGGAGGTGAGAGAAAGCAGTGGAATCACACGAGAGACTCTAGGCAGAAGCGCAGTGAAGTATTTTCCCCTCACCTCCTTTCCACACATCAGTCACAGCCCTTTGATGTGTGATGTGCAATGCAAGGCCATTTTTTGGGGCAGCATTTCTCTGTCTTCCAAGGCCAAGCCCACCCTGTGGACCCGTCCCCCCACCCTGTGGCCTCTGGTGGTCAAAAGAGAGAAGCTCCCCGCAAGAAACCTGTGACAAGTTTCTGCTTCTGGCTTGTATACAGGGTGGCCCAGTGGATTAGGACCTCTGTCTTACTTCTGCCCTCATACTGCCCTCTCTGTTCCTTCCTCTTTAGAAAGCTCAGTGAATCTGAAGTGCCTGTATAAAGTCTGTCTCTTTCTTTCCATCATTTTTTAAAAATACAGCTTTGATTTATGGATTTGGGTACCTTCTTTCCCCTCTGTTTATGTATTTCTAACTATTCCTCTAGGTTTTGTCATGGAGGTGGGGGAGTGGTCCGGGGATCCAATGGTACAGTATTTTTAAGATTAATTCACATTGTTGCATGTCTGAATAATGCATGCCTTCTTAATGGTGATTGTATTCCATTGAATGACTACATCATGATTTGTTTATCCATTCTCCTGTTGATGGACACTTGGGCTGATTCCGATTTTTGTCTATTACGAATGCAGCTGAATATGGGTGTCTTATATATATTCAAGAGAGGGAAACTCAGTGAGTGTGGGGTCTGTCAAAGCATCTCCTGTTTACACCTGTCTTCTCCAACTTCATTCTGATTTGCAAGTCCCACCTAAGAAATGGTCTCCTGTCTGACCAGGCTGAGGTTTGTTTGGCTTTGACTTTAATGAGCCCTTTTAGTAGTCATAAGGAGATCTGGTGACATTGTGGATAAGGCATTTGGCTATTAATCAGAAGGTCAGAGGTTCAAACCCACCAACTGCTATGCAGAAGAAGATACGTTGATCTACTTCTGTAAAGATTTATTTACAGTCTCAGAAACCCGGTGAAGGTCACTATGAGTCAGAATCAACTCAATGGCAGTGAGTTGTGTTTTTTTGTTTATTTTCATATTCATATTTCCACTATGTCTTCCTTTGGAGCAGTGATCCTCAAACCTGAGTGTGCACTTGGCCTCCATTCCAGAGCATGTGGGTCGTCAGATCTGGGGTAGGACCTAAGGATTTGACTTTCCAAATTGCCAGTTGCATGGCTGTTCTGGGATGATTCTTAGAGACCCAATTCCCATTTCTCAGGGATGTTCCTGAGAACTCTGGCAATGCTTTTATTTCTACTTTAAAAACTGTGTCACCTAGAAACTCACCCAGTCATTCTGTGAGTGTTTTACACAGAGTTTCTCATCTTCCCTGGTTAAAAACATGTGCTTTGTACAACAACTTGTCCCAGTTTTCTGCTATGACTGTTAACCCTCAATCCTTGCAAAGATGTCACTCTGAGGACTAAAGTGCACCTAACCCAAGCCATGGTATTTTCAATTACCTCATGTGCATGTGAAAATTGGACAATGAATAAGGAAGATCGAAGTAGAATTGATGCATTTGAGTAGTGGTGTTGATAAAGAATATTGAATATACCATGGACTGCCAGAAGAATGAACAAATCAATCTTAGAAGAAATACAACTAGAATGCTCCTTAGAAGCAAGGATGGCAAAATTTTGTCTTACTTATTTTGAATACATCACCAGGGGAGATCAATCTCTACAAAAGGATGTCATATTTGGTAAAGTAGAGGGTCACCAAAATCAAGGAAAACTTTTCATAACATGAATTGACACCAGTGCTTAGAATTGGTTTATTCCGATTTGACCCCTGCTGAGAATTTGCCCTTCCATACCAGATATACTGAATTGAAATCTACATCTTACAAGATTCTGGTAAGGATCACCCTAAAATCTTGTTAAAATGTTGATTCAGTATATCTGGGGTGGTATACATTCTGATTTAGTATATTTGGGATGGAAATGCAAATTCTCAGCAGGGGACTGAACCCGAGTGAATGGGTTTGAGCCCTGATTGACACAATAGATGCAACAGTGGGCTGAAACATATCAAAGATCATAATGGTGGTTTAGGGCTGGGTAATGTTTTATTGTGTTATATAGAAGGATACCATTATTTGGAGCAATGATAACTGACTCAGTGGCAACTAACAATAACAACAGCATTCTTTTGTATGGGTTTATTAACAAAATTGACCACCCTCCTACTGCTGAAGACCACTGTGGTCAGAACTTACAAAATGAATGGACTCGAAGTGGATATGAAGCCACAATTGGGGAGTAACCTTTAAGGTCATTGGAAACCATTTGCTCAGCCTTTTTTTCACTTTTCTCATTTCACACTGACAATAGTTCAAAACCACATTTAAAAGCAAAGAGTATTTAGGGCACATGTTCACTTACAACCTAATTACTGAGTAATACATTTTAAACAGTCTTATAAGTCAATTCCATCACTGGTCTGTCAGTTTGTTGTATTATGGTGGCTTATGTGATACTGTGAGGCTGGAAGCTACATCACTATTATTTCAAATGCCAGCAGGGTCACCCATGGTAGACAGGTTTCAGCAGAGCTTCCAGACTAAGACAGAGTAGGAAGAGGACCTGGAAGTCTGCCTCTGATAAAAACTGACCACTGAAAACCTTATGAACAGCAGTGGAACATTGTCAGACAGATACAATGCTGGAGGATAATCTCTGCAGGTTGGAAGGCACTGAAAATAAAACTACAGAAGAGTACCTCCTTAAAGTAGAGTTGACTTTAATGACGTGGATGGAGTAAAGCTTTCAGGACCTTCATTTGTTGACATGGCATGACTCAAAAGGAGAAGAAACATCCATTAATAATCAGAACATGGAATGTACAAAATAAGAATCTAGGAAAATTGGAAGTTATAAAAAATGAAATGGAAGGTATAAAGATAGATATCTTAGGCATTAGTGAGCTGAAATGGACTGGTATTGGCCCCTTTGAATCAGATAATCATATGGTCTACTATGCTGGAAATGACAAATTGAAGAAGAATGGCATCTCATTCATTGTCAAAAAGAACATTTCAAGATCTAACTGAGGTATAATTCTGTTAGTGATAGGATAATATCCATATGCCTATAAGGAAAACCAGTTAATACAACTATTACACAAATTTATGCACCAACCATTAATGCCAAACATGAAGAAATTAAAGATTTTTTTACCAACTTCTGCAGTCTGAAATTGATCAAACATGCAATCAAGATGTATTGATAATTACTGCAATTGGGATGCAAATGTTGGAAACAAAAGATCAGCATTGGTGATAGAAAAGCTTATGCTGGAGACTACATGACAGAATTTTTCAAGATCCAGGACTTATTCATTGCAAATACCTTCTGTCATCAAAATAAGCAGCAAATACACGTGGACTCTGCTATATGGAATACCCAGAAATCAAATCAATTCTATCTGTGGGAAAGCTCAGTATCATCAGTCAGAATAAGGCCTGAGGATAACTATGGAACAGACCATCAATAGTTCATACCCAAGTTCAACTTGAAGGTGAAGAATATGTAAACAAGTCTACGAGAGCTAAAATATGACTTTGAGTATTGTTCTGGTTACCTCTGTGCCGCTCTCACAGGAATATACCACAAATGAGACAGCTTGAACAAACAAGAGTTTATCTAGAAGTCTAAGTTCAAAGTGCCAGGCTCTAGGGGCTGTGTGAAAGCCCCTTGACCTTGGGCTTTAGTTCTGCCTCTTGCTCCCGGCCCACTGAAGCTAGAGGCATCTCTTCACTCAGGCAGCTACTGACTCCTGAAGTTAATAAGCCGAAGGTTGGCACAGTCCTGATGTTACCAAACCACACAGCAGGCCATTAATTCAAGTCCATTGAAAGTCTCAAGAGCATGGCAGGCTGCTGAACAGCTACATGGCTACATGCAGGGTTCAAGCATACCATAAGCCAGAGACCATTCCCAAAGCTGCTGCTTATATATGGGAAGCAGACCACATCCCCAAAGGCAGCTACTCAGCTGCTCACAGTAGATTCCACCATGGAGTTGATTACCAATCTCATCATGGGGAATACTACATCCAGCTGCCCAGCCACTCAACCAGGCCCAGCCAAGCTGACACACATACTTAATCACCAAAATTATATCCCACCTGAGTTTAAAGAAGAATAGACTCAATGTGTTGGATGCCAATGACTGAAGATCAGACAAGTTGTGGGCATCATACAAGAAGAAAGCAAAAGGTCATTAAAAAAACAGTAAAGGAAGAAAAGACCAAAATGGATGTCAGAAGAGACTCTGAAACTTGTTCTTGAACAGAGAGAGCTAAAGCAAATGGAAGAAATCATAAATAAAAGGGCTGAACAGAAGATTTCAAAGGGCAGTTTGGGAAGACAAAGTAAAGCATTATAATAAAATGTGCAAAGAAAATCAAAAGGGAAGAACATGCTCAGCATTTCTCCAGCTGAAAGAACTGAAGAGAAAATTCAAGCCTCAATTTGCAATATTGAAGGATTCGGTGGGCAAAATATTGATTGATGCAGGAAGCATCAAAAGAAAATGAAAAGAATACAAATGAATTGGTCGATGTTCAAACATTTCAGGAGGTAGCATATGATCAAGAACCAATGGAACTGAAGGAAGAAGTCCAAACTGCACTGAAGGAATTGGCAGACTTGATGGAATACCCACTGAGATGTTTCAGCAAATGGATGCAGTTCTGAAACTGACAGGAAGAGATCCATATTCATAGCCATTCCAAAGAAAGATGATCCAACAGAATGCAGAAATTATTAAACAATATCATTAATGTCACATGCAAGTAAAATTTTGCTGAAAGTAATTAAACAACAGTTGCAATAGTGTCCTGACAAGGTACTGCCAGAAATCCAAGTCAGATTCAGAAGGGGACGTGGAACAGGGGATATCATTGCTGATGTCAGATAGATCTTCTCTGAAAGAAGAGAATACTGGGAAGATGTTAACTTATGTTTTATTGACTATGCTAAGGTATTCATCTGTGTGTATCATAACAAATCTTGGATAACATTGGGAAGAATGGGAATTCCAGGACACTTAATCGTGCTCATGAGGAACCTGTACATAGACCAATAGCAGTCATTCAAACAGAACATGGAGTTACTGCATTGTTTAAAGTAAGGAAAGATGCGTATCAGGTTGTATTCTTTCATCATACTTATTCATTCTGTATGCTGAGCAAATAATCTGAGTCCCTGGACTATATGAACAAGAATGTGGCATCATGACTGGAGGAAGACTCATTAACAGATGACACAGACTTGACTTGCTGAAAACAAGGAAGATTGAAACACTTCCCGAAGAAGATCAAAGACTACAGCCTTCAGTATGGATTACGCTTCAACATAAAGAAAAAAGGCTTCACAACTACACCAATAAGAAACATCATGATAAATGGAGAAAAGATTGATGTTGTCAAGTATATAATTTTACTTGAACCCACAATCAATGCCTATTGAAAGCAGCAGTCAGGAAATCAAATGATGTATTGTGTTGGGAAAATCTGCTGCAAAAGACGTCTTTAAAGTGTTAAAGAGTAAAGATGTCAGCTTGAGGACTAAGTTGTGCCTGACCCAAACCATAATATTTTCAGTCACCTCATATGCATGTGAAAGCTGAAGGATGGATAAGGAAGACCAAAAAATTGATACCTTTGAATGATGGTATTACTGAAAAATATTGAATATATGATGGACTGCCAGAAAAATGAACAAATCTGTCTTGGAAGAAGCACAGCCAAGAATGCTCCTTAGAAGCGAGGATGGTGAGACTTCTTGTCTTGTACTTTGGTCGTGTTATCAGGAGGGACGAGTCCCTGGAGAAGGACATCATGCTTGGTCAAATAGAGGGTCAGTGAAAAAGAGGAAGACCCTCAACCACATGGATTGATGTAGTAGCTGCAAAAATGAGCTCAAACATAGCAATGACTGTAAGGATAACGCAGGACAGGACCAGGTATTACTTAGCTCTGAGGTGACTATGAGTAGGAATCAACTTGATGGCTCTTAACAACAACATAAATGAATCAGAAGGAGAAAAAAATATGAGTCTTCTGCATTTGCCTATCTATTTACCCTTTCCTGTGCTCTTCATTTCTTCCTGTAAACTGAAGTACCAACAAGTATCATTTCTACTCAACTGAAAGGATGTACTTAAGCATTTCTTATAGGGCAAGTCGGCTGGTGAGGAATTCTGTTTTCGTTTTTCTGAAAATGTCTGGATTTTATCCTCATTTTTGAAAGATTTTGTTGTTGTTGTTGTTGTTGCTTGATACTGAATTCAGGGCTGGTAATTTTCATCCTTCAGTATATTTAAAATGACCTATTGTCACGTGCTCTCCATTGCTTTCAGTGAGAAGTTGAAAATTCTTAGCTGTTTTCCTGTTTGTCTTTTTCTCTCCCTGCTTTCAAGATTTTCTCTTTATTTTTGGTATTCGTCACTTTGACTACTTGTGCCCAGATATACATTTATTTAATCCTGCTTGGGGTTTGCTGAGCTTCTTGGATCTGTAAGCTGGTACATTTTATTAAAAAAAAAAAAAAAAAAAACTCAAATTAGGAAACTTTTGTCCATTAGTCTTCCCCCTCCACCAAAAAAAAAAAAAAAAAGCTTCAAAGCCTGATAAAAAGCAGGAAAATGTGGAAGGAAATGTAAAATTCTCATGGAATCCAGACTTTCTGGAGTTATTGAGGCTGGATGAATCCCTGAAACTATTGCCCTGAGATAATCTTTAAACTTTAAACCAAAAATATTCCCTGAAGTCTTCTTGAAAACAAACAATATTTTAGCTCAAATATTAAAGAACATCTGCCTTGAGCATGGTGCTCTTTTAAGGAGCTATCTCTATGGGATCAAACTGACAAAAGCAACTCACTCAAAAAGTAGATAGGGACCTCAGGGCAGTGAGTTTCTATTAATGGAGGAGGAAATTCAGAAAAGAGGCTGAGAATAGTTGAACAACTTGTAGAATATAATCCATGTCATTGAATTGTGCATGTAGAAATTGTTGAGTTGTGTATCTTCTACTGTTGTATATTCTCAACAACAGAAATATAAAATAAATCATTTTTAAAAATGGGCAAAAGATGCAAATCTCTTTTTGCTTCAGGTAGCTGAAAGCGAGTAACCACACATTGTTAACTCAATCACAGAATGCATGTGTATCTTTCTCAAGCGTATAAATCAAGTGTATGTACAAAACTTATAACGAAACATGTTTTTATGAGGTTAAATTTCACAAGTGAAGTATTTCAGCACATTTCTCTAAAAGGAAATGCATCATACATTTCTTTTTAATGAAACGTATGTATGAGGAGCTGTGTGACATTTAAAACAAAGGGTATTTTAATAAATAACAAAACTCTTTTGACTTCATGTAGCTGAATTGAAGTAACCACAATTTGTGAAATCTTTTAGAGAATGCATGTATATCTTTTTTGAAGCATGTTAATAAATTATGTACAAAACTCAAAAAAATAAAAAATGGGCAAAAGATCAACTGGAGATAAAAACATGGAAGCTCATATTCCTTGTCAAATGAATTTTATTGTGTGATGTTTTAGTGTCTTCTTTATGTATTTTACTTGATTGCTCAGACTGAAATTATACAATAAAAATTAAGTTTTATTTTAGTTTCATTTTGGTTCCTTGTCTTAACCAGCTTCTTGGACACTGTGCAGCTCAGCTCAGCTTTCCTGACATTGAAAATGTTTTAGCTCCCATGTTAGGCAGTGGGTTCATGGAGATGTACTATATTGTAAAAATCAAGTAATTAATCATTAAACAATGAAAAATAGATCACGCATGGACCAGCACTGGGAGTGTGTCAAGATCAAAACTAAACCAATTCTACAAACTTGAGGTCCAAACAAGTCAAAATTTGTCCCATTTGCATAGGAAGTGGCTGGTTTGGAGACATGTGTTCAGCAGCAGGAAGGGGTGCTGCAGGTGATAGGTCTGCAGACAAGGGTGGGATGGGAGGGCTGACAGCAGCATGAAGACTGGCAGGAGGGGGCCACACACACAGCAGGCTTGCAGCTCATGGGAACACAGCAGGCTGCCTGGCAGGGGCTAGACACACAGCAGGTCAAGCTGCAGGAGGAGACCTGGCCACAGGCCACAGGGCAGCATGGGGCCTGACAGGCACTGGAGCAGCAGTTGGCAGCCCCACATGGTGACTGGCAGGAGGTGGCCATGCCACACACAGGCTTGCACAGTAGAGTCACACAGGACACTGGGTGGCAGCAGGAGCTTCCATAGTAGGCGAGTGAGCAGCAGGGTGACTGGGAGCCTGTGGAGCAGCAAGTATGGCACATTGTGAGTGTGTGGCTGGAGCAGGTTTCAGGCAGGAGGGAAGGGCAGGTCTACAGGCACCTTCTGTTGGATGTCTTTTATAGCCCTGGCACACAGGCATCCAAGCAACACAGAAACACAACTATTATTTTCCTTGTTTGTACTTCCTCTGGGCTATCTCCCAGAATCTTATTATCTTCTGTGGATTTTTCTATTGTGGCCATAGCTTCATGACTAATTGTGTCTTCTTCATTCATTTCACATGGAAGCCTGCTCATCTGTCTTACTAGCCCTGTCTGAATTCTGCTTTGTTTCTTAACATTTCACCTGTGTTATTTTTACATGATCCCAAAAACTTGAACCTCCAGATTTTCCTCTGGTGTGACAATGGTGGTCAAACAACCACAAATTTTACACTTATCCTATGTGCCAGGGAGGGTCCAGAGTGGATGTGAAGAAGAACTGTGGCTGGTTTACTAAACTTTGAGTTTCCTAGAACTGAGGAACTGGAGATGGAGAACTGGCAGATACACAGAAGAAGGATAGGAAGACTATTTGTTCATAAGATAAGTGAGAATTGAAGGGTATGAGTCATGGAGAACTTCTTATGGTGGTAACATTGGATCTTTGTCTTGAGCAAGTTTCATAATTATACAGTCAGGATAAGATAAAGCACCAAAATATCCTGGCTGGAGACATAGTTCTACCAAAGACAGGGAGAAGGACAGGCCGAGTGTGTGTGCAGACCCTGGGCCAAGTGGTGGGTTTCCCCCTCTGGGGAAAGCTAGAGCAGGAGGTGCAAGAGTTAGATGGGGATAAAGCATAACACTGACAGAAATTGATAGAATGAGTAGCGCCAGACTAGCCCATCTAGTCAAATGTATAACTGAAAAAATTTGTGTGTCATGTTTTGAGGCAGTGGACAACTGACAGCACAAGACTGTGATTCCTGAAAGAAGAGAAGCTTAGGTGCGTTCCACATTTACTCAGCTCTCTGTCTTGGTTCCATTTCCCAAATGCAGTGCAGAGGGCCAGAGTCTAAGCACAACACAATGGTCCTGTCCTGCTAAGGAAGAGGTTAGTTGGGGGCAGTTGAAACACCTGGCATGAGACTGGGGCATCAGAAAGGTGGGATCTGTGTACATAGCTGGTCCCATAAGTCTATGTAATGGTTTCCTATGAATCGATGGCTGAGAACATAGCTCTACATGCTCAGGGTGAGAGCACTGGAGACTTATCAGAGGAACCAAAAAACCCACTGCCATTGAGTCAATTCCAATTCATAGTGACCCTTCAGGACAGAGTAGAACTGCCCCATAGGGTTTCTACTTGGTCCCTCTGGGTAGCTGGCTGTGACCAAGCAGTGACCACACCCTTGCCCATTGTCAGCTCTACTATACACCTAGGAATTCTGATCATTCACATAAACTTATAGGACAATTGTTTGCCAACCCTATACATGTTCTTGGATACACTTCCCATTTCATAGACATACCTAATCATTCAGCCTGTCCATCCATCTTTCCACCTATATACCCATGTTTGCCTTCACTGACAATGCAGTACTGTATGTGCAAAAGGGCTCATCTTTGTTGTCTGTACCTCCCATGTACCTCTCTATATCTTTCTCATCCTCAATGGTGCCGTATTGGTCACTCACATTTGGTACATTGCCTTTCTCTTCCCCCAAATCAATACTTATCTCTATCTATCTAACAGCGT